ACGAATATAGAATACGTGATACAAAATGAACCACTACCTCCGCAATCGTAGACTACTGCATGTCTACTTGGATACACTTGAATTGGTAAACATGTGTCAATTGAAGAAACAATTCCGTCCATGCTCTCATTCGAAACCTTAGTCTGTGTCCCACACTCGACTAATGTCCAGTGCCACAGACCAACATTCATGTATGTACACATAAAGGAGATCACGACACTGTAATTAAAGCACAGCCTAATTAAGTTTGTCAAATTTTGCATTCAAAGTGCTATATTGACATTTTATCTTAAAAAATAATTGGGTTAAACAATCAAAAGAGTCATTGAATGGGGCGTTCCAAACTCTCAACTTCGTATCTAAAGTCGAGAGAAGTAATTAAATGAGAATATATCATAACTTAAGCAGATACTTTTACCAAATGATTATGAATTTGAATGAAGTAAAAACTGCTAATAGTTAGAATATTATTGTTATTAGTTAGTCTTAATTCATTCAAATTCTCGTCTAAAACATATTTGCTTCAGTTATGAAATTTTCTCAAGTAATTATAACTCTCGACTATAGATACTAGTGTGAGTATCCTCAAAGAAACACGGTAGTGTTACCATTAGCTTATACAGCAATGTTTTCAGATCGATGTCAAAGAGATTAAATTGATTTCTCATATAATTAGGAATCTATTATGGAACTCGTATGCTAGATCCGGTGGAGAAGAAAGAAGCTACTACTAAAGATTGTGGTAAAGGATACTTAAGTGCACGCAAGTAGTATAGTAATTTATACAGTCGAAAATTCATTTCTAAATCTATCGTTGAATCAATAGAGAATCTAACCGGTGCGTGGATAAACGTAATAACACCAAACTCTTAAAAAATCCTCTCTCTATTCGCCCACAATTTGAATGGTCAAGAAAGTAATTAAAAATATGAATCAATAAACCTCTCCAATAATATAAAGCAGCTATTAGACCAAAGAATTATTTCAGTTAATTACATCCAATCTGTAGATACTGCATAATATTGATTGGTAACTATATTACTAATGTTTTCTATAACAGCACACACAGTATTGAGTATTAACGATTAGTGCTAGTGCCATCTAAGGCACGCAGGAACGCAGGAAAAAATAATATCTACAGATAACTTACGTACGTGCTAACGGGTATCAGCACATACAAACAACAAAGTATTACAGTATCTGTAAGCCGATGCCAGCCAAACTACTGCCCACCTATTTCTATGTCTATGTGAAATTCAATGTTATGTCGAGGACACGTTAAAACTGTGCATGCGTCAAACTGATTTTTTAAAACATATCCATAGCACAATAGTAAGATGCTATGTGATTAAAGAAATATATATGTACAATGTACATCAACGAAATATAAAAATCTTATCTATCTCATGTTACTAGATTATTTTATTACACCATATTTATATGTCTGTACAAAAAATATTCAAAGTAAACTATGTTAACCAGACTTATTTATTGTATTCCAGTAAAATTTGCAGGTATCATTTCAAATAGAGGCTTTTTAAGTAGGTGAAATTCAGGGTAGAAGCACCTGATCACGTCACTACCACTGTTCTATTCTCACTAATTTCCAAATAACTACTAAATATAGGAATACCACCAAAGCAAATCCTAAATCTGGTAACAACAGTGATTAATTTCCTTATCAAATGGAAAAAGACGCAGTGAAAAAGGCAGTCATTAAATAATGGAGCAGCCAACAAACTGGTACATAGATTTTTGAACGTGGCACAATAGACTCAGAGTTGATTATCCCCATACCGATAAACTAGCTCCTTGATTGAGTTTGCTGAATACTTGGCAAACCACATCAGTCATACTGGCAAATATTAGCAGCCAAGGCAAAGGCTCTAACCCTCTGAATATAAATTATTATTTATAATTATTCCGTAATGACAAATTTAAGAAAAACGTTGAAATAATACCTTATAAATTCGTGTTATACTGGTATAGTAAACGGGTGCTATATCCAACCATTGCTATCTAAACATACACATATTCAATGTAGATAGCATAGACTGCCCTCTGTATAGATTGCATAAAGGCAGATGAAAGAGCCGCAAATCCCCTGTAAGATTACAAACTTCTGCAATTAAAAGAATGAACGTTTGAAATAAAAAACAGAACATCCCTTGGTATGCCGGATAACCTTCAGAAGGTGATCAACCTCTTGAAGTTCGTTATTGAGCTGGTGAAGCTAGTGTGAATCCGACCATACACTATTTGAACACAAAACAGGCGCAAATCAGACGAAGAAATAAGTTTCGGAAATTGGTCAACAAATTCGAAAACTAAGACTTTTTTTGGTATTTTACTTAAAAATGTAAAATGCAAAAAAAAATTGTACTAAATTGTCTCATAAACATGTTATTTATACTTCCTAAATTTTACAATTCCACTAATTGTTAATTCAATCAATATTAAAATCTTATTTAACTAACGCGTGTTCTTAGGATGTCACCTAAAAATTCACTTCATACGCAGCATATTCCCCACACACGACCACACGCCAATTTAAAAAGAAAGAGACCTGCTGGAGCATATGCGCATCGATTCGGGTTAGAATTTTTTTCAAGGCGTCTCTGACTGTTTTGATACATCACAACACGCGAAGCATGGAATGACGTCACATTACGCTATCGTATGGTAGATATAAACACGACGAAGATATTGAAAATTCATACTGGTACAGATACAATTTCGGCCGTACAGATACAATTTTGGCCATACCGCTACTTGTCTGAGTAGAACAGTCTGTAGATATGAGTCATCCTTTGAGCGATAAACAAACGTAGTACATTATCGATTAAGCAATTCAAAATAGACCCAAAAACCAAAGCACGAAATCTGAAAGAACGTACACAATTTTGAATATTGTCAGTGATTACCTACTCTCTTTCTATCCAGTTAAAATGAATACTGAATGTACCATTATTCAATTTGCAGAGTTTAATACAAAGATTTCCAAATTTTTTAAGGTTTAAACCCGAATATATATATCAGCCTACTGCTGAAGAAGACCCCACTAGACACCTGCAAATCTATGGCATAAGGGAAAATATCCCGACGGCTGGCAACCCTACACAAAGCACTTCCATTATCTTAGAAAGATACCTATAAACTCGAATATTTATTCCTCTTTTATTTTATCAGTATCTACTCGTATTTACCTACAAACAAAACAAATCATAACAAACTTAAATTAAAATTAGAAATTATTAAATTCAGAGAGTCAATATTAATATCCCCACTACTGGGACTCAGAATGGGTGGAATCCAATGAAATTAAATAGGGAGAATTGGCCATGTCCCCATAGTCTTAACATGCCTTCAGAAGCACAGAAAAGCTTGAGACAATTTTTTTTTGTCACCCATCTTATGACTGACCATTGCGAAAGTTGGTTAACAACCTTTTCGCAGATCTAGTGCGCTAACTACTACGCCATCAAACGTCTCAAGTTTAGAGTGTATAACAGAATTGGCACCAATGGCTCCCTAATCTCTTAATCCACTCCCAACAGTTACACTAATATATTCTAAAAAGAATATTGATTTTCCTTAAAATTGCTTATAATCAAATGTTCCTCAATGTATTAATAACCTGTACAATTAACCAGAGTTGGAAATCTATTTTAAATAATTTAATCAAAGCTTCAACAACCAATCAAAAGTTTAAAATCAATATTATGTAGGTAAATTTACACATATATTTATCCAATTTGATGAAACAGAAGCAAGAATCATGTATGGATGGAAGGATCCGGAGGAAGCCTATGTCCAACATTATACATACACCATACAACACAAGTAGCAACCAGTAAAATAATCACAGCCGACTCTGAAGTTACAAAAAGCATAACAGGAAACTAATGATTTATTTTTTAAATCTACTAACATTGAAAGTATGGTATTTGTAAAAAAAAATATAATATTGTAAGTGGAGCTACAGTTCAATAACCTTTTAGTAGGTCTCTGACCCCAATATTTATCTATATTAAATAGTTGATAACTGCAAAAATCAACTACAGACCCTAATGACAATATGTGACATGTAACAAATTATAATGTTATGGTATCTTAAAGAACACTTAAAGATTATGTAAACATTAAATATTGTATGACAAGTTACATATTATGACTAAAATTTACAATATTTTCAATATCATATAGACTAGCGACTGTAAAAATAACATCAACAAATATTTTCCTATTATTTAATTATCAAAATCTCCTTGACAACTTACCAAATTGCATCATCATATTTCATTTATCCTATTGAACATAAAAAAATTTAACCTTCTAATATTTATAATTCCAGCCTGGGCAGGAAGCGGTAGAAATTAAAAAAGATATTTATTATTCTGGTGTAAATTAAAGATGTGATAAATCATCTCTTTGTTTCTTTACATTTTTCACCTATAAGAAATTATATTTAAAAACTAGTGGAAATCACCAACTTTCACTATGCTGTGTCTATGAGGTTATGAATGAATTGTACTATTGCTGAATCACATACAAATAAATGCTATTTTTATCCAGAGACGGTAAAATATTTTTGAGACATTACTAAAATACTTTGGCTACCATGATTTTGAACTCTAATAGAAGATGCTGTATAAGATTCACAAACTCAGCTAACACTCTTTTTGCTACACAAATTACAGAAGGAAATATAATAAAAGAAAAAGAATGATTGCATCAGGTAAAAACATCAATGAAAGATCATGTATAGGTCTTATTGAAAAATGTAAACTCATCATTTGAGTCATTACTGATATGTACAAAATCATCAGTCTTGCTGATTTTGTACATATCAGTAATCTAAAATGAATAGGTTATATATGAATCCAAATGGACAATTTACCCAAAAGTAAGTATATGTTTTAGTTGATTTTATAATAAATTCAAATGTGATCTATAGATGTGCTGTCTTATCTGAAATAAAGTCATTCCAAATGGCTTACTTCTGATGTCTTTGGCGGTGCGGAAGGCGCCTCCCGTCTGATCTGGTGCTGTGGTGTGGCGCCATACCCATGGTCCAGAAGGTGATAGCTAATGGGCTGACTGGGGCTGTCATCCAGTAGCTTGGTTTGCGACGGAGACGCCCCAGCGCGCACTACCACCTCTGCCTCGCCCTCCACCGGACCTCGCTTCACCCCCCTCGGCATCGCTGTTCAGAAATACGATTAACATTCGTTCAAATCTGTATTTAATTCTAAAGATTTGTTGCGAACAGTTGCAGATGCTACAATTTAATTAGTAAAGAGGTTAGGGGAGCCGCGCGCGCGGAAATCGTAGACAAGAAGCCTCCGAAGCGTTATGGGTCGATAACACGTATCCAAATATTTTATGAAATTTTTAAGATTACAAGGTAACCTGCAACTCCCCAGAACCGCTTACGTCACTTTTTTCAACGACATTTCTCAAAAAAATAGTCAATCTAGCGGTAATACCAGGACATAACCGCTTTTCAAGTTATTCAATACACATAGTCATACTGCTTAAACTATAAAAGATATCAATGTAATACTTACGAAAGGTGTAAGCGAACGATATGAGAATTTATAACCATAAAACGACATTAATGTTTTCGACGCAAACGCTACATTATCGAGTACTCAAAATAAAATGTCCGCCGCTTTGTTGGTCCCGAGTGAACTCGTGGACATTGAAACGCTCGATAATTTTTAGTTACAACGCACGGTTTATAAAACACTCATGATACTTTATTCACTGACTATTCAACTGCATAAACAAAATAATAAAATGGTCCTAGTGCACATTTTATAGAAACTAATTAGTTCAAATGCAGAGCGGCCATCAAAACGACGACGGAAGCTTTTCAGAACATCTGGCTTGCAAGCGAGCGGCTATGAAGCGACGTAGCTGTGGCGCGAACTACGTGCGCAAGCGCGAGACGACCCAGCAATCATCCCCTAGCCTAGCGGACGCTACTCTCCAAATCCGCCCCTCATTCAAGAAGCCATAAAAAATATAACGAATTTTTGAATTTTCGTTGTACGACCGGTTTCAATAAAGCGATGCGGCGTCATTGTGTAATAGAGATTTGAATAATGTACTGCAGCCATTAAATATTAAGTTTACGTTATGTCACTTAGTATTTGCGTTTAGATTCAATAACATAAGAATAGTGATTTAGTTTTAATCGAAAACTTAAATAAAAATATTTCAATTAAGCTCATATAGTATTTAAAAAGAAAATAAGCATAGTGTTTAAAGTGTATTTGTGCAATACATTTTAGTATACATATGGTTAATTTTACCGTAGTTAAAATAGTTGAAGTAGAAAAATTAGATAGACTAGAAAAATTTAAGCTGGCGATCGTTAGGTTAATATGTGTTAAAAAGTTTTAATGATATAAACATATAAACAAAATCTGATTGTTACTATTGTAGATATATTCTTTTTTTGTATGAAGGTTAGTATAGCATGATTTAAAAGTCTGCACACAAGATGACGACTTTTATATTCATGGTATATACCAAGAATGTCTGTCATTATTTTATTTCTTTCATTACGCCCATGACCCCGAGCTTACGTCAGCATATTTCAGTCTATAGATGTATTAACAATTCATTTATTATTATAATAAAATAAATACCAGAGACCCGATTTGAATAAACCTACATCAATTGACAAGATGTAAGAATTTAGAATATTCCATAAAATTGTTGAAGCTGAGAACTTTTTAAAATTCGAATTGCGAACTGAATTACATCAAAGGATATTTAAATGCTCTTAATTAAAAATCAAAAACTACATACCTAACAAATTTTCATGCAGTTTTCACCAAGTTTTAACACCTGAGGTAAATGACGTTTTATAAATAAAAGTTAATATCATTAGTAAATAGTAGGTAAAAACTTCATGAGAAAGGTTTCGTTTGAATTCATAGTAGTTTTAAACTTAATTTATGATGATTATTATTAAAGAGGATGGAAAAAACCATACCGCAAGCACACTAAGGAACTAGAAAAAATGTAAATTTAAAATACATATACATAAATAGCAAGTGTGTATTGTTTCACCATTACATTAAAAAGATACGTCATCATATAATTCATATTTGTTACTTACCATTCAAATTACCTTATGAATTGAAAGTTATGTCGTTTTAGATTTAAATTTTCCTATTTCTTATTGATTTTTTCTTACCATACCAAATACAGCATACATCAGGATACGGAAGTATTTGAAACCGCGAAAAAGAGGTGCCAGTAGACATTTGTTGACTTCCTCCATAGACAATGTTCTGCTTTGCTTGTGGACGTAGTATCTATATAACTGGACTGAGTACCAGCAGCTGAAAAGCAATCCTGAACTTGATATTAAATACAGAGGCTATTTGTCTCTTTCAATAGAGCGATATTAACATTTCATGGTAAGATTTTTCATGTAGTAATTTTATTACGGGTTACATAGATTTATTTATTATATACTAATTGCCTTCCCGCGACTTTATATAATAATAAGGATGTTGCTATTTTTTTTGTCTGTTAGATAGAATAAACGCGAGTTATTAATAAATAACGGTGATATTTTGAGTTGAAATATATATCATAAAGATAATTTGATGTATCTAAAAGGTTCATTTTCATAGGTCGATAGGCCCACATACCAAGTGCGGACGATTTCTGGGTGCTTATTTTCATTAATCGGTTATTGATTGTTATTAAACGAGCGAATGCGCATTCTATCTCTACTATATTATTTTACTATGTTCGCTTTTTTAGTTTAGTGTATCTTAAACTAAAAAAGCGAACGCTTATTCTATCCCCACTCTATCAAATTCTTTTAGTGTAAGCAGTCTTACAGCATTCGCTCGTTTTTCTATCTGCGTTTACAAAAAATAGGGTATTTGACACTAACGAAAACAAGATGCATTTTGTGATCATCCTGATAGATAATAATCTAATAAAGCTTATTTCTTAACATCTGCAGAAAAAACATGTTTAGATTAAGTAAAATAACGTAAAGAAAATGCAATATTATTAGGAATTTATTCAACGACGAAAACGTCCTAGAATTGGTCGTGGCATAGACATAAAAGAAGAGGACCGGCCAAACCTACGAAAAAAGCGTATATGCCTAAACTTGAAATGCAAATTCTTCGATGGCGGACTGTCATAGGGCGCGACCCATGATATCGATATTTGTATCGACATTGAAGTCATATTAAATAAAAGTTAGTATTTCGTGAAACTGCTACAAAACTACTACTTATTAAATAAAGTAATATAATTTCCATTGTTAGGGGCATGGCTAAACTATTACCTATTATACTTCTATTCGTTTCACACTTACGTACCAATCCTATTTATGATTATTATTAATTAAATAGATAAATTCACGCCAGTTTTAAGGAAATAATATTTTGTTTAAAGTGGCGTGAATTTATCAATTATTTGTAAATCTTTAAGCAATCTTTTGCTCGTGTTTTGTTGGACATCTAAAAGTCTCATTGTTCTTGCGACTCCGTTGCGTCAGTATAGTAATTATAACCTATGTTACCAGCGTATGATGGCGCTTCCCACCGGTAAAAGATTATTCGTATTCCAAATATCATCAAAATCCGTTCAGTAGTTTTTGCATGAGAGTAACCAACATTCATCCTCACAAACTTTCACATTTATACTATATAAATATTTTTTACAATGTGATTGTACCTCGATAAATATGTATCTTTTTTCTCTAATACAGACAATTTTACGTAATTTTAAGAACTATAGTACCAAAATATATATCTTAAAAGTTTAACAATAATATCAATCGTGTTTTATAATTATTTCCATATATATTGTAAAATTGATATTTTGCAACTATCATTAAATAGTTTTTTTTAACATAAGTTTAATTTTGCATCCACGGGAAGTGTGACCACTGTCCAATATAACTGCCACGGTAACTATAATAAGCTTTAAATGAGTCGATTGACGAATGAATTATTGTGTTTTTTTTGTCTGTTATATATTTTTTATTGTTATAGTGGAAAGTGACATTTTGGTGCAATGAAGTCATTTTTTATTTTTCAGTACGAAATTAAACAGGGTGCAAAAGCAGCACTTGCAGTTTCTTACCGGTTCCCCTTCTTCTTTTCTCGGTAGAAGGTTTCCCGTAATCAATTTACGAACTATAAGCACAGAGTTTCGACTTTCTTATATGCTTGTAACTAGTAAGCCAACTTGTTTATAAATTTATTCAATAAATTGTATTGACTGAATAAATTTCGCTTACTAATCATTAAGTGAGATACCGTGCGTACTGTGTCACAATTTTAGTTCAGAGCATCTTGTTTAGTAGTAAACATAGAAAACTTGAAACACCTACATAATCTTTGTATTATATTATTTGTAAAAGAACATAAAAATACTGTAAACTTTGATGAATAAACAAGAGAAAATAAAGAAAACAAAGTTGGTAGATGAAAAAGTGATATAATTTATTAAAAAAGTAACAATTGGCATTTTATTTAAAAATTTGGTTAGCAAAAAGAAAACAGCGATAAATCAATGGGCAAGCATACAAATATTTTCACAGCACTAAAACTGTCTGCAATTCATGTTCTGTGAACAATCATGATAACGGTCAGCAATTTAAATACAAAAAGGTAGCGTATTTTATGATGCACCAGCAAAATAAACAGCCACGCCGCAAAATAATTATTTGGGTATTAAGATTAAACTATTGAACAGCAAAGAAAACCTTTAAATTTTTATTAAAATTATTTAACTCATTCTATTGTAATTTTACTGGGAGTATATTATGATCAGAATTTTATATTTTAATATTATTATATATTGCATTCTGATTTTTTTCAATTAAAATAGTTGTCATATGACCGCAAGACTAAAAATAAGGTACATTTATATAATAACAAAATGACTATATAAAAAACTAAATAAATAAATCAGTAAAATCAAATGAAAATTAACTAAGTGTAATAGACAAAAAAATTGTAAAATTAAGTTAAAAGCAATTGTCAAAAATTCTTACCAGCGTATTTGATTGGCAATGCATCATCTCGTAATTTTATTATATTTAAAGTTCGATTCAAACAACTTTCCCTAAAATGAAGTGAGCAGATAAAAGTAACTTTTTCATTATATTTAATATTTTCTGCTCCAATGGAACTCGGCCATATTCCTC